CTCAAACCCAAAACATTTATCTCCCATCTCCCTACTGATGACACACCCACCACCGTTGCCCAAGCCCTCAAAAACCCTTACTGGCGCTCGGCCATGGCTGACGAGGTCACTGCTCAACTCCATAATCACACATGGGACTTGGTTCCCCCCACCTCCTGGGTGCAACATACTCACCAACAAGTGGGTTTACCGCACCAAGGTCAATCCAGATGGCTCTTTTGATCGGCGCCGTGCTCGATTGGTTGCTCGTGGTCTAAATTTCCACCAGACGTACAACCCTGTTCTCAAGCCGGCCACCTTATTTCTCATTCTCGGCATTTCTGTCTCTCAGGGATGGCCTTTGCATCATATTGATATTGCTAATGCCTTTTTACATGGTGAGTTACAAGAGACGGTCTATATGCAGCAACCTCTAGGCTTGTTGATCCCGACAAACCAAGTCATGTGTGTCGGCTACGCAAATCAATATACGGACTTCGCCAAGCGCTCCGTACGTGGTTCCACTGCCTTGCTGTCGCTCTTACTCGTTTTGGGTTCTCGGTATCACGCACAGACCCCTCCCTTTTCATGTATAAGTCCGCGTCCATTCGCCTATATATTCTTGTTTATGTCGACGATATCGTCATCACGGAAAATGACACAGCCCTTATTCAGCGGCTAATGGATTTTCTTCATGCCAATTTTGCTCTTCGGGAGATGGGTCCATTATCTTATTTTCTGGGAATTGAAGTTCATCGATCCCCTACTGGTATTATACTCAGCTAGCGGAAGTTTATTATTGATCTCCTTGATCGCGCCAAGATGTCCATGGCGAATGTTATTTCTACACCTGCTACATCTGACCTTCTTCAATAAGCAGCATCCGATGTATCTCCCAGATTTTCTGATCCGACCTTTTATCGCAGTATAGTTGGTGGGCTCCAATATCTTAGTTTCACCAGGCTGGACATCTCCTTTGCAGTTAATCATGTGTCTCAGTATCAACAGGATCCCACCTATGTTCATTGGGCAGCCGTTAAGCGCATTTTACGCTATCTTAAGGGCATATCACTCGCGGCCTGGTCATCTCTCGATCGTCGACACTTCACATTCATGGCTACTCAGATGCATCTTGGACGTCTTGTCCCAAGGATCGCAAATCGATCACTGGCTTCGCTGTTTTCTGTGGTTCAAATGTGGTTTCATGGTCTACTCGGAAACAGAAATCGGTGGCTCGGTCGTCTACTGAATGTGAATACCGTACTCTTGCCACATTAGCTTCCGAAGTTCTCTTACTTCGGTCCTTATTGCAGGAATTGGGCCAGTCCATTCCCTCAGCTCCTACTCTGTGGTGTAATAATCTTGGAGCCACATTTCTAGATTATAATCCGATCTTCCACAATCGGTCCAAACACATGGAGATTGAGTTCCATTTCGTTCGCGACCAAATCATCAAAAGTCAACTACATGTCCACTATCTCCCCGCTACTGATCAGCTTGCTGACGTGCTTACAAAACCCCTGCCAAGAGTCTCCTTCAACCGGTTCTGCTCCAAGTTTCGCTTCACGGAGCCTCAACTTGCGGGGGCGTGATGACATGTACCACATTCCCATAATCCTCTGCTTCTGTTAGTTGTTGTTGTGGCTGTTAGTGGGTTGTTGTAGCTCATAATTCCACTACTTTCTGCTGCACTCTCTGCTCAATTGTACTTTAAATACATTCACTCAATAATAGAATCGCAAGCCTTTGAGCTCATTCAACATACACAAGTTCTAACACCAAAGGTTGCTCTTCGCATATGAGATTGGATACCGGCTAATCTATATGCTTTCTTTTGTTTGGGCATCTAGTACGTTCAAGCCATGGCTCAGCCCAGATCCATGGGATTTAGCCAACTTCAGCATTTGCTTTCACTCACATGGATCTAGCCAACTTCAGCATATGCTTTCACTCGGGCCTCGTTTGCAACATAGAATTCAATAACTTTGTAACTACTAGCAAAAAGCTCGCTCGCTATCGCTTCGCGTATCAGAAAAATAAATATTTTAAAGAGTAATAGTTTTAATGTTGACCCAAAAGTGAAAGTAATCTTATTTCATTCTTAATCATTCTTTTCATAGGTTTGCTATTTACAATAGCATATGGTGGATGAACTTTCATAAGGTAGAAGGGTCGTCGAATAGATTATATATGTCCAAACTTCTTTCGTGACGCTATTGTTTCAATTTGTATGGCTAGTCGTTGATCTTACTATAACTTTTGAAGAATGAAGCAACTTCTCTGAATCTTTTCAAGAAGTATTAAAAAAAACTGTTGAGTGTTTAGCTGAAAAACTATTAGAATTAATTTCTAATATAAGAGATGTAAAATGACTAAAAAATATTTCTAACAAAAAATATGAATATAAATTCTAAAAATAAAAAATTATTTAAAATGGATCACGTTAGATTTATTTCATATTATATAATAATATTTTTAAATTTATGTTTTATAATGATATATATGAAAGAAAATTATATTTTCTAGAAAAAGAATAATATATGGTAATGACAATTTTTATTTTCAAATTGAAGTTTCTCCTTTTAACTTTAGAGGTGTTATGCTTGGCTTCAACTTTTGAAACATAAAACTTCTAAAATTCGGGCAAATATAGTCGTACTCTTTTGGCTTTTTTTGTTTGAGGTAACCGTGGTTCTCCTCTATGAAATTTTTGGACTGATTGCATGTTTGAGAAAGTTCAACTCGCATTGACCGGTTTAAATTAGGTTGGATACTCATAGATTGGGTTCAATTGTCTTTCTCAAACAAAATGAAAAAGTGAAATGAAAAACACTAAAGCTAAAACTCGCCACCGACTCAAAACTCGTAAACACCAAGTTCAACTCCCTTTGACCTAGTTGAACCGAGATTTGGGCAAATTAGACCTGACACACCCCGTCAATTATAAAAACAAATAAAACTCGTCTCGCCGAAAACCTGTGAAACCGGATTCAAGTCGCTTTAGCCTGGTCGAATTAGGTTGAATATCCATGTGTTTGTACTCAATTGTCATTCTCAAATCTCAACCAAAAGAAAAAAGATAAAAAAATACTAAAGCGGATAAAACTCGCTCATGACGCCAAACTCTCAACAATGCGTTCAACTCAATTTGATCGGGTCGACCTAGCTTTAACCAATTCACAATTTACCCAAACTGACAATTACAAAAGCGGATAAAACTCGCTCTCATTACAAAATGTGTCAGCAATGGGTCAGAGTTCAATTGTCATTCTCGATGAAAAGGAAAATGAGAATAAAAAAATATTGACGCGTACAAAACTAGTTTTCGATCTAAAACTGGTCAACAATGCGTTCACCTTGATTTGAACAATTGTTAACAAATTAATACTTAGTCCAACCTGCCAACTACAAAAGCGGATAAAGCTCGCTCACAATACAACACTCGTCAATACCTTAGATTCGGGTTCAATTATCTTCCCAACCAAAAGAAATAAAAGAGAAATTTATAAATGCTAAAGTCGGTTTCAAGTCGCTTTGACCGGATCGAATATGGTTGGACACCAATGGATTTGGGTTCAATTGTGATCATGCTAAACAAAAAGAAAAATTTTAAAGAAAAAAACACTAAAGCGGACGAAACTCGGTCCCGACACAAAATTCCCCAACCTTGAGTAATATGGTATGGATTTTTGGTAGCGGCATTGGGAAACGGTGGAGGGGGACAACTTAGGATTCCACCAACAGTGTTTCGAGTTGGGTTGGGAAATGGTGCAAAGTGAATAATTGTTGCAATATGGAGCTGAAAATATAGTAGGCAAGAATTTATATGGGAAAACAATGGACAATAGATGTAAACCTAGGGAACACCCATGTGTTTGGGTTCAAGTTAGGATACCCATGTGTTTGGGTTCAATTGTGATCATGCTCAACAAAAAGAGAAAAGATCGAGAAAGAAAAAAACACTAAAGAGGATGAAACTCGGTCCCGATACAAAACTCGTAATAGGGGCTTTGGAAAATGGTGGTGGGGAACAACTTAGGATTCCATCGACAGTATTTAGAGATTGGATGCAAAATAGTGGGCGAAGACGATGATTTGTGCAAAAAGCCAAAGACGAAAAACCTAGCAACAATAACTAAACACAAAGGTTGTAGAATGGAGAGTGGGGTAAAAGAATGACTTGGAACTTCTCCACTTGCACTTGGAAGAGTGCGGAGCCACTAATGAATAGTAACTCACATATTAGGCTTTTATATATTAATATTTAACCACATAACTGCACATATTGAGCATGACGTATTCCTCATAGAATTTATGTACACTAAATCTCACTTTATATTGAGAATACATGATGTGTTCATAATATACTAGGTGAGATTCAGTATCTATAGTTCATCTATTGTAAAATAATGCATTTTAGTATGTTTTCCAAACAAGTTCTGAGAACCCACAGTGGCAGAGCCATGAATGAGGGGGCTAACGTAAACTGTGATGATTGGGGGAGAGGAGGCTAAGGCCTTGCAGACTACTCTATTTCCTAAATTTGTTACGAATTTTATGTATATTTCAAATTTGAAGGGGGATTATAGCCCCTCCTGACTTCAACCTAGCTCCTCCACTACCCACACATCCTTAATACACATAGTCTCAATACACACATTCATGCAATATACCATTTTATGAATCAAAGGTTTCAAGCCACCCTTAATGACAATGGAAATTTAATGAGAAACACATAATAAAATCTTAAATCCCTACTCACACACCAAATCATCAAGTTTTAGTCCTTCAAAAACAAAACCACAGTAAACCCAAATGGCCACCTTCTTGCATAATTCCACTCCCTAAATCCAATCCATCCTCCCTCAGTTGACAAACCTACAATTCCTCTTGACCTCCCCACTGTTCCCCACATCACTAACAAAGCTCCCCATCCTCACCATCGACGCCTTGAAATCCTCGAAGAACCGCCCCGGATGCTCCATGTATGACTCCACCATCATCCTCGTCTCATCACCTTGCTAAGCCAACGCCTGGTCCGACGAAAGCTGCCCTTCTCCCGACATCAGGTTCACGTAGTACTGGCTGTCGAACGTGAAAGGTGTCCCCTTGTCAGCTCCCCCACCGCCGTCGTCGACTACGAGCACAGCTGCTCCAGACACTGGATGAACTCCATATTCATGTCGAGCAGCCGCCGCCGCCTGGAGATTCGTGAGCTGAACGACGAGCACCAAGCTCTTCTAAATAGTGTGGGCTCCTGCCAAATAAAATCAACCTGTCACAATGGGGCAAATAACTTATAACACTATCAATTATAGCCTCCTCTTACTGGATGGGCAGCTCTTTCAGCGCTAAATCGATTAGTATCGATTGTTGCATATTATTATTCATCAATTGTAAATATATTGTCTTGTATTTGCTCTAACTATGACAAAAAGAGAAAAAATTATAGTCCCGTGTTACCGGAGAGAGCGACCACATCGTTAAGACTAAGCCCGACGTTCTGAAAATTTGTCGCGAGAACGGCCACCGTGGAATTTGGCCTTCGTATACTGGTCGTTGCCGCGGTTTTACTTGCCGATAAACCGTCCTTCCTCCCCCATTTGAACTTCCCAACTGGGGCCTCCTGACTGTAGAAATATTACACCTTAACTGTAACGTTTTCCATATTGTTACATAACATTTTTTAACGTGGCGGTAAAAAGGGAGAAACTGAGCATGATTGCGAGAAAAACAGAGTTGCGGGCAGCTATGGCGAGAACGTCGGCACAAGAGACGGTTTCAGGGAAAACCGATTCCAACTCCAATTTGATCGCATCGATCACTTCAAACCCTCTCAGCGAGTTCAAGTTCGGAGGCGCCGTCTTTTCCCCTTGAAACGTCGCCGTATCGTCCAACAACATTGAACCATCACACCCCTGCATAAGGCAGAAAAATAAAGTTTATCCATTTTGATGATGCATTTGGAAAACATTTATATGTTGCCAAAGTTTATTGATTTCTTGCATTGACGAAGCAATCGTGGAAATGGAGGCGGAGAAGGGAAGCGGTCATTCTGGGGTCGACGGCGACCGCGGATTGGATAGGGAGAAGATTATGGATTCGGTTCAGGGAAGCTGTTTTGGTAGAGGTTGAACTAAAGTTGGAAGCCGATGTCTGCTCTAAGGCATGTCTCGTTTAAGCTGTCAGAAGTTGAAGTTCTAGTAGTAATTCCTATCCCCAGCATTCCTTCTATATATATAAGCTAGGTTCAACCATTTCTTCTACTGTATCACTTTCTGTTGTCTAGCGGGTTTCTGAAGGTTTTCTTTGCGTTGTTTGGTCGAAGCACTTTGGGAAGTAACTTTTCTTACCATCTCTTTCTCTCACCTTGCCCCGCGGTCGTTCTTGCGGTCCTCGCCACCTCTTCCTCACATTCCCCCCCCCCCCTCCCTCCCCCCTCTTCTAGTAGACGCCATGTCCGTCATACATCCATCTGTGCATGTGCTCATTGCAATTCAATTGCCCAGGCCAATTTACCTCCTTCATGCTACGCAATCCCCCAGTTCTACGAAACAACCATATCCTTTGTACGAGTCATGTTGTAGAGGGTCTCTTCCATTCGGCAATCGTATGCCTTCCTGTTCTCCCCTATACCTTCTCAGAATTCTGCCACTGATATGAACCCCCGTGGCAGAATCTCTGTTGCCCATGCCACCGGCCATCATTCCTGCTCTTTTTCTTTGCTCTGCCTTCATATTCCTACCTCCAGTTTTACTCCACACGTCTTCTCTCGAGAGAGACAATTTTCTTTTTTCTGCTCTTCTTCACCAAACCGTTCATCCCTTCTTCCCCGCAAAAAAAAAAATCCTCCACTGCTCTACCCGGTAATCTCCTCCTGATTCAGTTCCCCTAATGAATCATACCGTCCTCTCCAGGCTCGCATGGACGGACAAAGCTCCTGTTCTGAAATTGCGCCTGCTTCACACATGGATAGCTGGGAATCCTCACCTCCCAGATGGGTTTTGCGAACACTAGACTTTGTGGACTGACGAACTGGTAGGTCATTTTCGTTTCCTTCTTCTCCTTACCAATATCGATTCTCGTTGCCTGAGTTCTGGAGTCTTTCTGTTCTGCAGGGGAAGTTGGTGCAGGGAGTTGCATCGCAGCAACTGTCGGCACACCTTAGTGAGCTTATGGTCGTTGGGAAGGTTTACTATGTCACTCTTTTTATGCAGCGCAAAGCAAAGAGGCGTTGGGCGTCCTACTCCAACGATCGCATCCTCGGATTCACGTCCACCACTGCTTTCACGCCCTCCTCTGAAGCTGAAATTGTTTTCTGTTTGGCTAGCTTTGAGTTCCTTTCATTTGAGGAGCTTCCAAGCTTTGTCTCGCGAGAATGCCTTTTAGTTGGTGGGTCTCCTCTTTTAAACATTTACACTGACTTTAATTCATTTCACTTCTGAACAAACTCATGTGCACAGATGTCGTCGGGCGATTGCTATCGGTTACGCCAATCACCTATTTCCAGAAGCATGATCGCTCTATTAAGAAACATACTGTTGTCATTCAGAACGAGCGCTAATGGATAGTTTCCTCTAAACTTTGTGTAATTCTGCCATTCAGATGCTTATCGTTGGCTTGGTTCTAGCGAGGCTTCACTTTCATTGACATTGTGGGCTGAGTTTGCGAAAAAGCTCCCTCTTGCAGATCTCATTCTAGTGGACGACGACGCCCCAATTATTGTCGCTCTAACAAGCCTGAATCTCTCTTTGGCGACGTAACTCTCCATGCAGTTACTTGCCTCAACTTCCACCCTCTTCTTCAAACATGCATCATTGAACCATGCCTTATCCCATGCAGCTATTGTTGCAGTCGAGAGGAGTGGACCATTCGTCCTAGCTTTCACAAGCATGTTGGTGACTGAAATAGAAGGTTATCTATTATAAACAGGTTTTGTCGATGATTGATTGTCTGCCATTGACATCAACAATTCACAAGTTGTTTTGCCTAAAACAGATTCAGAAACTCTTTGCTTGCTCAACACAGCGGCAACATGCATAATCCAGGGCTGCTGGTCTCATCAGTTCAGGGGACTTAGAATGCATAAGAATACTGCCCTTCGCATGATCAATCCTATGAATACTGTACTAATACTGTCGTTGTCGACAAAAGAAAAGTCTGTCTAATCGCTTTTTTTGTGCACTCATATACTCAGATTCTCCCATGTTCACCGACCTATGACAATAGGACATTCACCCACTGTGAGCCTGCATATGTCCAATACAGGCTGCCACCAAAAACAACCCTGCTGAAATTAATGTCTTCTAAAGCGCTATCAACACCACCCCAATATATGAGCTAATAGCTTTCTTCATTTACAACGCTTACTTTTTTACTTCACTTCTAATTCCCATTCATGATTGTTATTTTAGCATTCCTGTGTCTGGTGCCTCATTAAGATAAAGAAAACTCCAACTTATACAAATCTTTGTCACTTTGATCTTGAGACTACCCCCTTCCCAAGCTACATGTTATCTAAAACGACATTAAGATCCTCTATACAAGGTCAACGACATTAACTCAACTAATTTCCAGGTTTCAAATGAACGTCGAACGTGAGGATAATTATTTCTAGTAGGATAATTATTATTATTATGGTTAGTAGGATAATTATTATTATGGTTAGTAGAAATTTAGTCCAATTAGGTGATTTGTTAGGGTTTACCTGTATTTTCCTATAAATATGTACTTCTGGTTTACGTTATAATCAATCAAGAACAATATTAAGAAAAGTCTCATGAACCCTAAACTCTCCTCTCAACTCCTAATTTCTATTCTCACCCAATCCAAGGCCTCGGCCGATTCCCAATTCTATTCTTTCTCATATAAATTCCTAGTTCTTTCTCTCAACCCCTAAATCCCTTATTGTCACGAGTGCCGAAAATCAGTCCCTAGAGACCCTAGAAGCGGGGTTCTTACATGTAATGTCCATCCACTAATTTGTAGACAGTATTTCTGGAAAACAATCTACACAATAAATAAAAGCCAAATGAGAAAACTTGAAGCCCCATTTTAAATTTCCTGCATTCAGAGTGAAAGTAGGAAGGGTAGATTCGTCTTTACAATCACTTATTATTTTCTTATTTACAAAAAAAATATGTCAATAATGAGATTTGAACCGTGGTCTCTTCTGATAAAGGTAAGAAACATAACCAGTTACAACAAACACATTTGTGTGATCATTATCAATTAAAAACATACAGGAAGCTTAAATATGAAAAATATAGGACTTTTCCACCACGTTTAGCAACCAAAATATTATTGATTCAAATATTGCATATCGAATTGCACTCTTGAATGTGTAGAAGCGATGTAGAATTATTAACATAGACTTAATTGTTATAACTATTATAAAGTAACGATATTTTTAAACACAGAACTTTTAAGTGAATATGGGGCACATGTGTTTTTAAGAGGGGTAAATATGAAAAGGTTGAGTGATGTTGGTTTGCCGAACGCGGATGGAAAAGCACTACTAATGTAAACGGACCCAAATAGTGCCTCGACCCACTAAACGCTCAACCATCACCGTCTCTCCAAACTTCTCATCAGACTCAACAATCGGCTAACCTCCTCTACCTCTATTATTAAGCCAGAGCAATTCTTGGAGGGGTAAATATGGAAAGATTGAGTGAAATGGGAAAGGTGCTTCCCCCATTACAAAATCCTTGCATCCATAGCAAAAGTAGAAATGGTAGATTCGTCTTCACAATCATTTATTATTTTCTTAATTACAGGAAAAATACATAAGTGATGGGATTTGAATTGTGATCTCTTTGAAAAAAGACAAGAAACATAACCAGTTAGACTAAACAAATTTGTTTAAATCTTTTAAATTAAAAACATTCAGGAAGTTTAAATCTAAAAATCATTGGAATTTTGCACCACAGTTAGCTAAGCCACTAACTCTCCCCTAAATATTTTTTTGGTATTTGATACTTATATTTTCATACTTTGATTATTTTGATTCGAGTTTAATAATTAATTCTATTTCTATTTATCTTATAAAAGGAGAATAATTTTAAAATCACAAGCCTAATGTCATTGGTGCAAATATTGCACATCGAATTGCATTATTGAATATGTAGAAGCTATGCAAAATTCTTGACATAGACTTAAATAATATAACTACCATAAAGCAACAATATTTTTGAACATAGAAGTTTTTAGTGAATATGTAGCACATGTGTCTTGAAGAGAGGGATAAATATGGAAATGTTGAGTGATGTTGGTTGTCGAATGCAGATTGAAAAGCCGCAACTAATGTAAATAGGTCTAAATGGTGTCCCGACCTACGTACTAAACACTCAACCATCGCCGTCTCTCCAAACCTTCCAATTGGACTCGACAACCATCTAACCTCCTCTACTTATATTGTTAGGCAAAGGAATTTTCGGAGGGCTAAATATGGAAAGATTGAGTATTCTTGCTTGGAGAGCAGATTGGTGGATTATTTAGTTTCTTTGACAGTAATGTGTGATCTCTTAACATCAGTTCATTTGGTTGATCTTCTAGGTTACTTTTGAGTTGATTAAAGATAAACAGTGTCCCAGGCTCCCGTCCTACTAAAGGCTCAATCATCACCGTCTCTCCAAACCTTCCCATCAGACTCGACAACCGCCTAACCTCCTCCACCTATATTATTACGCAAAGAAATTTTTGAAGGGGTAAATATGTAAAGGTTGAATGTTCTTGCTTGGAGAGCTGACTGATGAGTTATTTAGTTTCTTTGATAGTAATGTATGATCTCTTAACATCAGTTCATTTGGTTGATCTTCTAGGTTGACTTTTGAGTTGATTCAAGATAAATAACTATACTTTTTGTTGCTTTTGTTATAATACTCCTTTTCAGTATTATAAT